AATTTTTCTATCAAGTTTAATGTTTTTATACGGTTGAATATATTCATATACGTACATTTTTGTAAATGGAATGAGTTTATTAACATGAATTTGTGAAGAGCATTTATTACCCAAGGAACTAATGTGAAGTCTACTCGATAAGACCGCTTAACAAAAGATTTTCTGTTTTGAAACATACTTAACATCAAATTAATCTTTTATTTTATAACCATGTTTAGGTGTTAATTGTAACGTCCTTGTTATAATTAATTTTGTATCTTGAGAATTATTTTTTAAGATTTGAAATTTGAAAGATTTAACTGTTTTATTTATGCTTTCAACTCGTTAAAAGTAAGACAATTTTTCCATTACTAAGTTCATGTATGATATTCCCACACCTTCGTATTTTTTAGAAAACATAATTTAAAGATATTAAAATACTTTGAAAAAATATATATTTATCAGAAGAGCCAAGAATTTGCAGTTTTCAACAAATCGCTTAGTAGATATTGATAAACATTAAAAGCTCTGTTGCTTTTTTCTTTCTTCTTTATGTGTTTAGCCATTTTCAACTTTATAAGTCATTGCTTTCCTTTTTTTCTACACATATACTTTTTATTCTTTTCATTCTTTTGTATAACTCTTTTCAAATAAGAAAGTTTCGTTTAATTATTTTCTTCTTTTTCTGTTCCTTTCTTCAAATGGACATTTTTTTCAATCTTATATCAATTAGAAATTCATTTCAAAATTGATTTCAAATTACATGTTATCAAATATTTATTTCAAAATATATTTTATTTGAATGGTTGTGGGATGTGTAATTTTAAAAATTTTAAATAAAAAAAATTATAGGTTATTTCTGTTAATATAAAAATTTTAAAATATATAAAGTTTTATAATTTAGGTTTAAATCCTCGAATAGTTCTCGTATTTTATGAGAATCTTAAGTGGGTCTTCATATTTGCAACTGTCTCAAGTAAGTTCTAATATTTGTAAAATCAATCTAATTGAGTCCAAATATTTAAAAATTTGAGTCAATTGAGTTAATTGCAACTGTCTCAATTTTATAAATATAAGAACCTAATTGAAACAGTTACAAAATTTGAGAACCCACTTGAGATTTTTATACAAATACGAGTGACATCCTAATGTTTAAACCTATAGTTTATAATTGAAAGTGCAAGAAGAAACCCATTTTGTTTTAGTCTTTTTGGTTTTTTAATTTTTGTCCCGGCCCATGGAAAGGACCCTTTCTCAGTCGCTGCTGGAGCCCATTTTGGAGACCTTGGACGTGAATGTTGGTTTAAATTAATCATATAATAATTTTAGAGACATCTTCCTATTTCACGTTACATAATTTTATAAAACTAACATTTTAATGTATCTAATATATATAGTCGTATATGATAATGTTTAAAATTTAAAATAAATAATTTATACTATATACTTTTATTTTTTATTTTTAATAATTTAACATAAAATTATTGAATTTTGATTTTAAAAAAATTAATATATTGAAAAAAAATTATAATAAAATAAATTTCTTTTAGATTGTGTTTGTTTTTATTATAATTGTGAGTTTATTTTGATATAAATATGGACATAAGATTATTATTAATACATGAGAATAAATTGGATGAACTCTAATTTTAAAAAATTGTAAATAATCTAAGTTACACTTCTTTACACACCAACTGTTTGATGAAAATATCAAAGAGTTTCTCGTGTTTTGTGAATGGTGTGGTCTAATTGAGTTGTTGAGTGCATGAGTTGTCAAGTGTTGAACAAGTCAATTGGAAAATAACGATATTTATCACTTGTTATGCTGCGACTGATGCACTTGTTTTGTCGATGGTTCTGCAGCTAATAATGACCCATTTACCCCAGAGCTCGTTATTTGATTTAGATTATGCTAAGTTACAAATTAACATGCATTTAGCGTTGATAGGCAGACAAATAGTCAAAACAAGCTACTAGATAGTCAGATAGGTTGGTAGGTTGTCGGACAAGCTATAAGTAGTTGAACATGCTATAAGTAGTTGCACATGCTAATAGATAGTAGGGCAGACCAGTAGGCAGTCAGACAAGTCAACTTTTGGCTGGGCATGGGTAGTTAGATAGGCTAACTTGTAATTGGATAGCGGTAGTCATGGGAGTTGGAACTGTTTTGGTGCAAGCACAGAGGACGCAATCAGTTGTGTTTTGAGCCATATTGTCCTGGGACGAGATCAATGTTGATGTTTTTGAGGGGTACTTGATCATATACAATACATATTACATGATCTTATAAATGTAAGTGGAATCAATTTTATTAGTATGTTGGGTATGATAGAATCAATATGTAAAATCGATTTAGTGGCATTTGGTGAATAAAATGAGACTGAAATCAATTTCACGGTCTCATATTAAGCAAGTGAAATCTATTATGGTAGTCGTGTTTGATGTTTATGTAATATTTGACGTGTTTCTTTTTGAGGTGAAGAACATCTAACACGATGATTTTATATAGTATATGGTGAATAAGTCTAGAATAAATGTGTTGTTAGTTGGATAAAGTGTTAGTTTTCTTATTCTTCAAAAGGTTAGAGGTGTTAATAATTTGGTATGATTGTTAATAATTTGACATGTTAATAAATGCTACATAAATTAATTTTGTATGATGATAAATATATATTAATTAATTATTAATAATTATTTATTAGTTATATATAATTATGTGTTTTAGTAAATATGATTCACAATAATTTAAATAGTAACATACAACTTATTGTTTAAAAAAATAAATTTGAAATTCAATCCTACAAATCTCTTTTATAGATTTTCCTTTTATTTTTGCAATTTTATTTTTTCTTATCCTTAACAATTTTAATTTCATTTTCATTTTATATAAAATTTCTATGTAAGAGTAAAATTAATGAGTTTGCAGTCAAGTGATGACCCATTTACCCTGTGAGCTTGTTGTTTGGTTCATATGATGCTAAGTTACAAATTAATATGCATTTAGCTTAGACAAACAAATAGTCAAACAAGCTACCAGATAGTCAGATGGGTTGAGAGGTTGTCGGACAGGCCATAAATTATTGTATAGGCCAATAAATAGTAGGGCAAACTAGCAGCGAGACAAGTTAGCTTTTGGCTAGGTATAGGTAGTTAGATATGCTAACTTGTGATTGGATACTGGTAGTCATGCGAGTTGGAACTATTTTGGTGTAAGCACATAGGACGCAATCAATTGTGTTTTGTGTCGTGTTGTCCTAGGACAATATCAATGTTAATGTTATTGAGGGATACTCGATCGTATACAATACATATTCCATGATCTTATAAATGCATGTGGAATTAATTTTGTTAGTATGTTGGGTATGATGGAATCAATATTTAAAATCGATATAGTGGCATTTGATGAATAAAATGATATTGGAATCAATTTCATGGTCTCATATCATGCAAGTGAAATCTATTATGGTAGTTGTGTTTAATGTTCATGTAATATTAAATGTGTTTTATTTTTGTTTGTGTGAGGTGGAAGAGGGTGGTTCTTGATAGTATGTGATGGAAAAGTCATAATTAACTATATTGTTAGTTGGATAACGTGTTAGTTTTCTTATTCTTCAAAAGGTTAAAAGTGTTGATAATTTGGTATGATTGTTAATATTTTGGTATGTTGATAATTGTTACATAAATTAATTTTGTATAATGATAAATATATATTAATTTATTATTAATAACTATTTATTAGTTATATATAATTATGTGGGTTAATAAACATGATTCACAACAATTTAAATAACAATATACAACTGTTATGTAGTAAGATATTTATTACATAAAATATCTTAGATATTATATTACATAAAATATCTTAAGATATTTATAAAGCCACTAACCACATTTTTAGGTAAGGTGGTTATTTCTGAATAATATTTCAGAGCAGTATCATAATCATTCTCCTGAGAGCTTCAGCTCCATAATTCATATCTGACTTGAGCGTCGGAATATCTTTGCAGGTACCTCCACTCCTTAGGCGAGTATGAAGAACAACAATTGAAGATCAGCAAGCAACCCAGACAGCCAAGAACAGTAAAGACACGCAGGAAAATGTACACCGAAACAACAACTTATTGTTTAAGAAAATAAATTTGAAATTTAATCCTACAAATCTCTTTTATAAAATTTCTTTTTGTTTTTACAACTTTTTTATCCTTAACAATTTTATTTTCATTTTGAAATAATTTTCACTACTTAAGTTTAAATTTATATAAAATTTCCATATAAGAGTAAATTGTAATCATATTTTTTTATTAATTAAAACATTTTTTTAATCTATCATACTCATTGTATCATTTACAAACTTATACAAACTTTTTCTTCAAATCTCTTTATTTATCTCTTCAAATTCTTTAATCCAAATAATATCACAATAATCTTTTTATCCCTCCTACCCATTTAATCACTCTTTTTCAAATTCACTCTTCCATCGACACACTCACTTAAGGAATGAATAATAGAAAAAATAAATTGAATGGTTTAATAAACATAAGAATTATTTTTATTAGTTATTATCTTCTAGAAATACCCTCATAAAAAATAGTTCTTAAAATTTAATTTTGATATTGCAAAAGTATTTTTTATACTAAGATTTAATGTAAAAGAAATTGAATAAGGAAATAGACATTAAGAATAGGATGAAAGCTATTAGATTTTTTCCACGTAAAAAAGAAAATATATAACCAATAAGAAGCTGCCGTATTGGAGAAACTACCTAACATTTTCCAAATGGTAATGGTGGACTTGCGCTTTGGAGTCGTCTGTGGGACCATCTCCTACACTACTCACAATTTCCACGTCGAATGAACGAGAGAGAGCCAATAAAATAATGCCACGCGTCAGAACTTTGATTTCAGACCGTTTGATTGTCCACGCTGGCGAACGGTGGTATTGTTAGGAAATAAGCTCCCCCGTAACAAACACGAGCAAAAACCTATAGGTGAGTCATATATAAATAAACCATCTAAACGCAGATGCGAAATCAATCCAAACTAAACGGATCTCTTCTTCACTGTTGGAAGCTACTAGAAGCATTGAGTGTGCGCGCACTGCGATGAGGAAGTGGACGGTTGCTTCCGTTCTCCTTCTACTCTGTCTCCTCTTTCTCTTTGCAGATCAAGGTACGCCACTTCACCGTTTACCGTTCACTCTTGTTTTCTGCGTGTTCGATTTCGTTTTCGAATTCGTTAACGCATCGTATTTTTTCTTCCGCAGGTCGAAAGTTTCAGGCGAATGCCGCGGGCGATTCCGACGGCGTTGTAGATCCGCCCAAGGTGGAGGACAAGATCGGCGCTGTTCCTCATGGCCTTTCTACCGATTCAGATGTGGTCAAAAGGTGTGTGTTGTTATCTCTCTCTCTCTCTCTTTACCTTTCGATTTATTATTTTGGCATCTGAACCCGTGTTACCGTGATTTTAAGGGAGGCGGAGTCGATCTCGAAGAAATCTCTTCGGAGCAACGCCGAGAAGTTTGAGTTCCAAGCGGAAGTGTCACGGCTCATGGATATTATCATCAACTCTCTCTATAGTAACAAGGATATCTTCCTCAGAGAGTTGATTTCCAATGCTTCTGACGTAAGCGCTTTATTTATTAATTTAAATTAAATTTAGTAAACTGCTGCATTTCAATTTCAGCGCCCGAACTCGAACAAGTTGTTGTTAATGACAAATGATGCGTGCATTTTAGGCTTTGGACAAGATTAGGTTCCTCTCTCTCACGGACAAGGAGGTTTTGGGAGAAGGTGATAACACCAAGCTTGATATTCAGGTTAGTCTGGTAGCATCTATTAATTATTACTATTATTATTATTATAAAGATATTTTTGGTATAATGTTTACGTTGACAGTCTAAGAAATGAATGGCGGTTGTGTATTGTTTCGTTAGTGATTTGTGTTTAAACTAAACTGAAGCATGTTGATGTTTCAGATTAAGTTAGACAAGGAAAAGAAAATTCTCTCGATCAGAGACCGGGGTATTGGTATGACGAAGGAGGATTTGATTAAGAATTTGGGAACAATTGCTAAATCTGGAACTTCAGGTATGTATGTTGTTGCTTTTGCTGATGTGATTTTGCTGTGATATGGTTGGGATGGTGTTAATTGGAACTGTGTGTTGAATCAGCATTTGTTGAGAAAATGCAAACAAGTGGAGATCTCAATCTCATTGGGCAGTTTGGTGTCGGCTTTTACTCTGTGTATCTCGTGGCTGACTATGTTGAAGTTATTAGCAAGCATAATGAGGATAAGCAGTATGTCTTTAAGACTTGATATTGTTTTTCTAATCAGTAAATGTTGAAAGCTTTATTTTTTTTTTGTTGATTTGTAAATATGAAATTATTCGATTCTCAGGTATGTATGGGAATCAAAAGCTGATGGAGCTTTCGCAATCTCGGAAGATACATGGAACGAACCTCTAGGACGTGGAACCGAGATTAGACTACACCTCAAAGAAGAGGCTGGGGAGTACTTAGAGGAATCTAAACTGAAAGTATGCACCAAACTATTACCTTGATTATTATAACTTTGTTGAGTTTAAATTTCTTGTCTCCTTGTTTACTGCGCACAAGTTTATGCTTAGGGGTCATTAACTTACACTTCAGAGTATATAATAGGTAGTGTGCATTTATGCAATATTAAGTAGAGCGCTGGGATTATATGGAGTGTTGCACTTGCAAAATGCCCGAGTTCTCATTAGTTAAAGTAACTTTTTCAGTCCAAGTAAATATTTATATGGATTTATGATTTATGGTTGCGAATAGGATAAGAAAAAGGAAGGATTGACATGATTTAATATTCGAAGATTTCGTTAATGACTGTTCTCAATACGAAAGAAGCCATTCTCTTGCTAAATATGATTTGACAACTGTTGTTCACAGGAATTGGTGAAGAGGTACTCTGAATTTATTAACTTCCCTATCTATATTTGGGCAAGCAAAGAGGTTGATGTGGAGGTTCCCGCAGATGAAGATGATTCCGGTGATGAAGATGATTCTGGTATGTATATTTTAAAGAATTTCGTTGGATCTTGCCATTTACATCCTGTTCCAAGATGATGTTTCGGTGTTTGTTCATTCTTTTATATTATGGTGATGATAATTTAAGATTCTTACCTTATTTTCTTCCGTAAACAGCTGATGGCAGCTCCAAGGAGGAAACCGAAGACGAAGATGCTGATAAAGGTGAAGATGAAGACAAGCCTAAGACAAAAACAGTGAAGGAAACAACTTACGAATGGGAACTTCTAAATGATGTGAAAGCTATATGGCTGAGGAATCCAAAGGAGGTTACCGAGGAAGAATACACCAAATTCTACCACTCTCTTGCCAAGGTAATATTTGCAAGTTTATTACATATGCGATACTTCTATATGGCTGAAGTCACACCACTCCGAGTTTAATATTCATGAAGTGGCTTTATGTTTGTTCAGGATTTCAGTGATGAGAAACCTCTATCGTGGAGTCACTTCACTGCCGAAGGTGATGTAGAGTTCAAGGCAGTCCTGTTTGTACCACCTAAGGCACCTCAGGATTTATACGAGAGCTATTATAACGCAAACAAATCCAACCTGAAGTTGTACGTTAGACGAGTCTTCATTTCAGACGAGTTTGATGAACTGTTGCCCAAGTACCTAAACTTCTTGAGGGTATGCATCACTGTGCCTTGTTCTTGGAGATAAATATATTTATGAGGATCAGATTAATTTTTTGTTAATGTTATTTTTGACATTGGGAACAGGGTCTTGTTGATTCCGACACATTGCCACTCAATGTATCGCGAGAAATGCTTCAACAACATAATAGTCTAAAGACAATCAAGAAGAAACTTATCAGGAAAGCCCTTGATATGATCCGTAGGATTGCTGATGAGGATCCTGACGAGTCCAGTGACAAAGAAAAGAAAGGTATGATTTTAAATTATGGGCTCGATCTGTTGGAATCCATATTCTTTTCAGGGGATATGGTTGATCAAAACGTGTATCAGTCCTATAATTTTAGGCTTGCTGTGTGCCCTACAGTCCAAATATTCTCGTTTTTTTTTTGGTTTTTTGCGGTGGTGGTGCTGAAATGATTTTGTCATCTTTCTTTAATTGTATGAGTAGCTTCTCGAAGTCTATTCGCTGACTTCTTACTTCCATCTATCTTAAATATTTATGCAGAAGATGCATCCTCTGACAACGATGAGAAGAAAGGTCAATATGTCAAGTTCTGGAATGAATTTGGTAAATCCATTAAACTTGGTATCATCGAGGATGCCACTAACAGAAATCGGTTGGCAAAATTGCTCAGATTTGAGAGGTATAGTACTTGTGCTTGTAATAACTAAACTCAGTAGTGTAATTTCGCCGTTTTCGATAGGTAACATTTTTTCTGATGCTTGTAACACTTGCAGCACCAAGTCTGATGGTAAATTGACATCCCTGGATCAGTACATTTCTAGAATGAAAGCTGGCCAGAAGGACATCTTTTACATAACTGGAACCAGCAAAGAACAGCTGGAGAAATCTCCATTCCTTGAACGGCTTAAGAAGAAAAATTTTGAGGTGGAATTTAAAATCAATTTATTTTAATGCAGATCGTTACTTCCAGAAATTGTATTTATTTGTTCTTTGGAAACTTTTGTTTCTGTTCTGCTGAGGAAAAACGATTTCATTGATTTGATGTATTCTAAGTGTATTTTCTTTTCAACTTGGTACAGGTTATTTACTTCACGGATCCAGTTGATGAATACTTAATGCAATACCTGATGGATTATGAAGATAAAAAGTTCCAAAATGTGTCCAAGGAGGGTTTGAAACTCGGGAAGGATACGAAAAACAAGGAACTGAAGGAATCCTTTAAGGATCTTACCAAGTGGTGGAAAACTGCTCTATCCAAGGACAATGTCGATGATGTGAAGATATCCAACCGATTGGATAACACTCCTTGTGTAGTAGTGACATCAAAATATGGTTGGAGTGCAAACATGGAGCGAATCATGCAGTCTCAAACTTTGTCAGATGCTAGCAAGCAAGCATACATGCGTGGGAAGAGGGTGCTTGAGATCAATCCTAGGCACCCTATTATCAAGGAGCTCCGCGAGAGAGTAGTAAAGAACCCCGAGGTATTCTTAGACTTTAATGGTGCCTGTTATTTAATTTTATCTGTAGCTTCTCTTTACTCAACACGATTAAGGCATATTTGTTAACACAATGGGCTAACTTTTCAGGATGAGGGCGTGAAACAAACAGCACAGCTGATGTACCAGACTGCACTCTTCGAAAGTGGCTTCAATCTTGATGATCCCAAGGATTTCACTTCCCGTATTTATGATTCGGTGAAGTCTAGTTTGAACATCAGTCCTGATGCAACAGTTGAAGAGGAAGATGACACCGAGGCGGAGGCTGAAAGTGAGGTAAAAGAAACTCCAAACAAGCCTGAAGCTGAAGTTGATGATGATGTTGACGATGCGAAAGACGAGTTGTAGATTTCAATGACATCCACTATTTATTGACGGTGCTGTCGGTTTCCTTTTCTTTTTCATGGTTTAGCTAATAGACAGTAATAGCTTTATGTACGAGTTTTGTTTTCGTAAGTTTAAGACCTTAGTGTAATCATCTTTTACGTTGGAATTTTGTCCTCCCACCATACTAGCTTAACACAATTTTCGGTCACAAGTTTACTTCTTTGTCTTTACTATCATCAGCGTCGTGTCAAAAGATTTCGCCGCATTATGAGAAAAATATATCATAAAAAATGATAAGTATTTATATTGATTGTTTCAAATTTTTAAAAAAGAACGACTTAAATTTATAATTAAGTATATAATTGTTCACCAATGGAATAATTAAGAGTCTTGTGAGAGGAGTCTTCGTAACGATGGTAAAAGGAACACATTTTTGGATTATACGAATAAACGTATCAGTGTGTCCGTATCAGTGTATATTGTATTCAATTTAATATTGTATTTGAAGTTTTGACTTAATTTGCTTTTTATGGAACAATATAATTCTTATTCAATGAGAGCAAAAATTAATAATTAATTTTAATTACAATTAAGAAATATATGTTAAAATATATAAGTTATAAAATAGAGATTTTTTATTGAAATTAAAAATGTATAAAATAAAATTAATTTTTATACTTGAGTGAAGTGATTTGATGTAAAAATTTTAAAAGATTATTTTAAGATGTAATTAAGCTTAATATTAATTTGGTCTTATTTTGAAAAATGACAATAATTTAATTTTTTAAAATAATTAGGATTAAATTAAGTTAAAATTTTCAAACATAAAAACTATATTAAATATAAGAATCTAATTGGAATAAAAATATTAAAGTGAATCTAATAAAAATAATCTAATTAAAATAACAATTACATGTCAAATTGAATTTTCCAAACAAGATAAAAGAACAAAAGTGAAATTAAGTCAATCTTAAAAATATTATTTTCACTCATTGATTTAATTCTAACTACAATCATGTATAATTTAGATTTATTTTTTCATATTCTACACAAAAACAGTTTAATTGCTTAAAATTAGTTTAATGACAAAATGTGACCTAACTGTTCAATTTTTTTTAAAAAGAAAAAGCATAATTTGTCAAGAATGGGATTCGAACCCATGCCCTTTCGGACCAGTACCTGAAACTGGCGCCTTAGACCAACTCGGCCATCTTGACATATGTGTATAATGTTACAACTCACAATATTTATTTCTGACTTCATAAAAGCTTTACCCAATTTACCCAAAAAAATTAAATGTTGTTACTGTAATAAATCTCTAATTGCAAAATGTTTCGATACATTGAACTACTGTTTAAAAAATAATTAGCAAAAGAAATTGAGCCTAACAATTAGGTACTGCTTCCAATACTCTACAAATTTCTTCTCCCACCTTCCATAACTCCTAAATGTCACCAAATAAATTGGGGGTAAGTCTTTCCTTGTATATTCTAATAGTTACAAATATTTAAATAAAAGTCCACTTTTCTATTCACTCTCTTCAACAAATATTTAAAGTAAAATTGTGCACTAACTAATAAATGGAAAAAAGATCCACTATATTAAGGCATTATCATTTAATATTGTATAAGTCTCAAAACTTAAAATGACTTCTTAAATAATGTACACTTGTACATAAAAAATTTACCGAAGTAGCTACATCAACTAAATAAGCACTAACCTAGACTATTCCATATTGCTTTTCGTAAAAAAACGTATAACGAGTAACTGCAACATTTGTAGTATGATGGGGACTAGCGTAAACTAATCACGTTGTAACTTTCTAAAATGTTAGTGTAATGTTATTGCTCAAATCTTGATTTTGTCAGGTTTGATCAATACTTTATTCACATGGAAATTTAATAATTATATTATTCACATTAAAAGTTTAAATTTGCTTTTAACAATATTAGAGTACTTTCACCGGTAATAAATTCAATATAAATAATAAAGAAGAAATATTCACATTAAAATAATATCTTAAATAAGAGTGATAAAAAGAAGAAAAAGAAAGAAGACATTGAATTTTCTGACTTAAGGATCTTTATACTTATTGGTTAGAACATTTTGTTTTCTTGATTATAATATTTTATTGTGAGATAGGTAGAGTGTGTCATGACTCAAGTCTAACTGTATTATTTCATTGGTCTTCACTCTTCAATTCTCGATTCATATGGCATTAATATCCATTTAACGAACAAATTATGTTATTGACATTAAGAGGTTTATATTACTTTTAATGATTTAAAGTATTATCTCTACTGAAAAAATACAATGAATATAGATAATAAAGAGAAAATATTCAAAATAATGTCTTAAATAAGGGTGGCAAAAAGAAGAAAAAGGAAGAACAAATGAACAGGTGTCCATGATTCTTTACTAGAAGAGTTGGGAATGTAGCTAATGTTTCTTTTGTTTGATAAACACAAATATTCATAGTTAGGGGTGATATTTTGTGCATAATTATTTTAAAATTACACTGACTTGGACATCATAATATTTCTCTTTTTCAAATTACAAAATGAACGATTGATCCGATCACGAAACCTTAGAAAAGAGAGCACAAAAAGTAAACGTGAATGGGACTAAAACTCCAAATGTCTAACTAACACTTGAACAAGTGGCTATGTCTCTTTGCCAACCCAAATGACATGGTGCCAACCTTAAAATACCCTCAAAGTTCCCTTTAACTGCTTATTTAGAGTACCAACCATGTTACTCAAATTCTAAGTCAAGCAAAGCATAGAAAACACTGCTTTTCATACTCTGCTACATCGCTTTCTAATTCAATAATGTCAATCCACCTATGAAAAACTCCCTTTTTAGCTGGTGGGGTGCACATGATTCTCATTGCAATTGCTTTCGAGTTCAAATGATTACGAAAGAGAACTCATCGTGAGATTTAGTTATCGATGTCACCTACCACTTTTTTGCACTATTATGAGTATTGCAAAGAGAAGAAGATTAGCAGAGTGAGTGTAAGAATGAATGGGAAGGGACATGAATGAGAGTTGGATGAGATTCCAGTGAAAAAGTTGGAAAACCATGGACTGTCAACTATCAACGGCATCTCCCCTGTCCCTGTTTCTGATCCAAATCCAGAAGGAGGAGCTGCTGCATCTCTTGCAGATTTTTGGCTGCAATTAAACACAAAAACACTTTTGTACGTAAAGAGATACAACACCAATCAAATTTGAATCTAATTATATAAGAAATTAACATCACTATGTATCAAAAAAACCTAAGACAATGAGTTAACAATCTTTCACCTTCAGTACTTTACTTTTCTTATTTCTATCGGATTCACGTTTAGATTCTCCACAAACGAATTTTTTATTTTATTTTGAAAATGGTATATTATTTCTTGTGATATGTTTTTGAATAATGAAACAATCCAACGAAAATATTCTGTAATAGATTCCAATCGTGAGTGAGGTATTCTTGTTGCTTAGTTCTTTTTGTGTTGTTCAAGCAAATATAGTTTGTACTTTAACTTGAGCCACACTAAAAGGGCACCATAACTAGAAAACTAAAAAGTTAGTAACCAACCACCGTATCACTCAATTTTTTTTTTTTTAAAAGTTGCATATTATTATAATAATAGTTACTATTGTTATTGTAAGATGAACAACCGAAAAGATTGAAATCGTAAACTCAGAATAAATTAGTGATTAAAATAATAGTTAGATGCAGAATCTCCTTACCTTGTGGTTGAAGGGCAGAATGTGATGGCGTAATCGGCTCCGGTACACGTAAACGTACTCGTAGCGTCGTCGTACGCGTAGCTATACGATTTCGGACACGCGGATTTGAATACCTGCGAATATATCGAAGGCTTGCATGTCGCGGGTGAAGCGTACGCGCCGCTGCAGCAATACTCTGGGCTCTGAAACGCCTCACAGGCACTCCTACACGCGGCGCGATCCGCCACGCGTAACTCGTTGGGGCACCGTTGGTTCAGGTCCGCAACGCACCCGGTGGACCCGCACGTACCCGACCCGCCACTGGGGTCTACAATTAACGGCAAGTTGTAACCGTCAACGAGACTCACGTCGTAAAAGTCCTGTGTGCCAGAACCCGACCCGATTGTGAACTCCGCCAATGTGGCCGGTGGACTTGCCCCTCCCCCGTTGCATTGGACCTGATTGGAGCCACAGTCTCCTGTGGTGCAACTACCCTGTTGGGTGTTCGGGTCGAAATTGCAGCCGGTTCTGCCCCAGAATCTTCCGGACCAATTGGGCGGTGCTTGGAAGATCCGTGACCCACCCGGTTTGAGTTCAAACCCAGTTGAGTCCAATCCGGAGCTCCCTGCGTTGGCTAAAATCCCAGGCCAAACCGTGTAGTCACATTTGTTGATTAGAGTAAATGTGGCACACGAAGCACCTATTATGATAGAAATTATAACTACTTTAGGTAGAAAATTTAATGAATGGAGAATTAATTAATGAATGAATGAAGTATATAATTAATTACCTTTGAAAAGAAATACCCAAATGAGAGCAATGTGTAAGGAGAAACAATATTCCATTTGCAATGTGATTGATTAATGGAAATGGTAGAGGAGAAGAGACGCCATGTATGAAATGAAAGAAATGGATATGATAATATAAGTGCTAGTTTTTCCTATGAATAAGATATAAGAGATGTGGAAGATGGATTATAACGATACTATAAAGAATATTAGGTTGAGTAAAACCCACTATAAGTTGTTCAGTCATACGTAAAAGGTTAAGCCAAAGGTTGTCGCAAAATATTTGTATTTATCTGGTTTTTCACTGCTCAATTTTTGGGATAATTTATGTTGCAATGATTTTTATCAGATGGATTTAATGAACCCACGATATAATATAAGGGGCAAAGTATATTATTATTATTATTATTATTATTATTATTATTATTATTATTATTATGATTATGATTATGATTATGACGATGATGATGATGTAATTAATTAAGGTAACTCTCACTTTTGATAGTGGCTAAGGGAATCGATTCTTCTTCTATCTTCTTTCTTTCTTCAGTCTTTCATTTTTCTCTGCAGCAAGGAACTGAGATCAGATATTTTTCCAATTGTGTGTGAAGTGATGACTTTTGTGTTCATTTGCTGCGATTTCATTGCATTGCACGCCACGCTTTTCTCAGTTCCTAAATTTCGGATTAATGATATGCTTTATTCAAGAAATTGTAATATGAAAATTTGCCCTCAATATGAACAAAGAAACATGTTATTATTATTATTATTAAAATCAATAATTTTATTATATATAATGTTTATACCGTATTTAATAATCTTACGTAAATTAAGAGTTAAAGTTTAAAGAAATTTAAATATTCTTTTTGTTTCTATTTTAAAGATAAAATATTAATAAATAAAATTTTTAAACACATAAATGATAATTGATTTAAGACGAATTTAGAATAATAATTTATATTTAAATAATAGCTTCAAATTTCTTTGTATTGTATTGTATATAAACTATTTTCTTTACTAACTTTCAGTTTAGTTACTCTGAAAGCATCTTATAATGTTTTGTTTGGTGACAAGTTTACCTAACATCCTTGGAAGACCAAGAATATAATATTTTTTTTAACATGATGCTTCTGCATTTTTCCCCATGTTTTTTTTTTCTTAAAATAATCTCTGACTTTCTAACTTGGAGAATTGGATTCTCAATTATCCCATAAATTGATAGCTATTGTATTTAGTTGGGTTTACATTAACTATTTTTCTATTAATAAATGTTATATTAACCCATTATTCAGTATTGTTAGTGTTGATAATAAGTAATACTTTTAATTATGGACTAACATTATTGAATACATTAAATTGAGATTTTCTGAATAAAATATAGAACACGCAAAGCACTTTACTAAAACAAGGCTTAAGAACCGTATATTTCTGCATTCTTTTTTCTTTCTTTTTTTTTCTTTTTTTTCTTTTTCTCTGCTGCCCTTTATAGATTGATGCGTGCTATGTAACAGCTCAAACTATGATAATTTATTAAATTTAGTTATAAAATGAATATGAATGTTTCTTTTAACAAAAGTTAATGCACCAATGTGAAATTAAATAATATTTCCTTAAAATTTCAATAACTTACTATCACCGTACTTCGTCTAAATTAAATCAGGGATAGATGATTATTTATTTGATTTTTAGTAAATGTTAGAAAATGATGAGTAGTTTTCTCAGAATGTTGGAGAAAACTTAAAGAAATTAAATTTAAAAAATAAACGTTTTTAATAACTAAAAATATATATATTTAATTTTCTAATTATGACTTGTTAACATTCATTCGTTAGAAAATAAAAATAAGACTTTTTTAAAAAAAAAATGTATTGATGGTTTTTTAACGTGAAATTTTATAATAATTCATATATGCAATTTTATCATTTGAACATCAAATATTTTACAGTATAAAACTTATAATATATTATTATTCACTCTAAAAAATAAAAGAGAAAATCTCACGAAAAAAAAATCATTGTTCACTTTCTTATATATATATACACACACACACAAGAATAAAAAATAGTTTAAAAAAATTAACATTTATCATTAATGTACCAACTTTCCACAAAAATATTATCAAAGTATATACTTGATAATTAAGTGTATAGTGTTAATAATGTTACTATTGTAACATTGATAAGATTTGTTTCATATACTTACGCTATAAATTAGAACACAAAAAGTATATTTTAATTAATATGATGACTATAATCTACTTCTAGTATTTTAAATTGTGTCTTGAAAGTTTTAAGATATTGGATAAAATAATCAAGAAGTGATAAAATAAGATATTTGTCTAGCAATATATAAAAACGTAATATACAAATTACTTATGCTTAATCAAAAGTCATATCAAAGTCAGGATGGCCGAGTGGTCTAAGGCGCCAGACTCAAGTTCTGGTCCTCATTCGAGGGCGTGGGTTCAAATCCCACTTCTGACATTTTTTTTATTTGTATACATACATTTTTCTTAAATATATATTTTTATTTGTATGCATACATACTAAAAATACTTCTTAAAATTAAAGAATATTTTTTGTAATGAATTACGCCTACGTAAAAAAAAAAACATGTCCATAATATTCAGAAATACGTTACTATAATAATGAGATTAATCTTTACAGTACTTCAAATTTTTTGTCTGAACTTTTTAGCAAATGCGGGGGATAAAAAAAAACTTATATAAATGAGATATTTAATTAACGATTGAATAATAGCAAAAATTAAGCAGTAAAATCAGAACTTTATCATAATTTATCAAAAATTTTGTTCTGAATACATATATTTAAAATTATGTACAACGTCTGTCTCATTATACACACACTAATATAAATTAGTATTGCTTTTACAAATCCGAAGAACCTAATATTAATGTTTATTTTCGTATTTATTAATCGGATTTCATGATTCGATGAAATACTAATCGGATTTTAGAATCGTGTGTTCCAGATTTCATACACCTCTTATAAGACATATAATAATTATTTTTTTTTAGTATATATTTTGTAGTGGTAAAATGAAACTAGAACAAAAAGTTGAAAGTGTTTAAAGAAAACCATGGGATGAATTTCAGTTTGGATGTTCTTTGGGCTTTGGAATGAATGGGTCATGACAAATGGGTAATGGGTTTTTCAGATTGTAACTTCAAAGCTGGGATATTTACTTCCTGTACCTCCACAATTTCTTTGCACATTGAAATGATCAGTTTATCATCTGGAAAAGTGATTCCCAAATTACATATCTGAAAATTCTCTGGAACAAACTTTCCATAATTTTTTTAAAAACATTTTCGCAATTAAAATTTCAAAACAAAAATTTATGAACAAAATTTCCAAAACATAATTTCTGAAATAGAACAAAATATTATAAATGGAATATGTTATAAAAAAACCTTTTCAAAATACATGAAATATATTCCAAATAAAACCTTTCGAAAGAAGTTTTTCTTTACTGTATTTTCTCAGCATTCTCTATTTTTTCTCAGCATTCTCTCTTCTTCTTCCTCTGCAAAAAGACAATGATAAAGAATATTTAAGTCTTTTTCCAGTATTGTTGGAGTATAGTTAGTAATTGTACGAGTGCAGTAAGCAATAACCCATAGCTATAAGGGTCAAAATTTAACAATTTGAACATGATAAAGAAATTCTAGATAGAGACAGAACAACATTCTCCAAGAAAACATTTTGAACACGAATCTTCCCTATTTCTTCATTAAAAACAAAACCTGTCTATTATGTAACATGCAATATAATTAGTTAGACATTTCTAATCTAACTATTATGAATGTGATTAGCCCTATAAGTGTGCACACAAGAGTTAGGTTGACAAGTTTGAAAATTGTAAAAAGCCTTACAAATTGATGTGTCTTAAAGAATAAGAATAACGCAATTAACCAAAAGTTCACGCAAGACGTGTCAAAGCTTTTTCCTATTTAAATCATCACATACAAACCCATACAATTTTTTATTATTTCAAGTGTTATATTTATTAAATTGATTTTTTTTAAGTGTTTATATTTCACACTGTTAAAACTTAAAGGTGGCTGTTTGATTTGAATCCTATGAAGTAATTTGAAAGAACTCTTGGCCTCCATGGTGATTCCAAAATTCATTAAAATAATTTATGTCTTTAGAAATCAACGTTGAAAAGAGACTGTTATTCATGTACTAATGGTAGAAAACGATTTTATATTCTTATCCAATCCAAAATAATTGTTAGTATGACTTTTAATACATAATTATTATAAAAAAATTAACTAACAATCATATGCTATGATTTATAATTGTTTGAAGAGTAGGATGGGAAATAAACTCCTTTATATAAATATTGTCAGAACGAGTTTTTATTTATGATTTATTTTTATCATATAAAATCATGTTTTGATATTTTTTTATATAATTATTTTTAATTTTTATTTTATCACTAATATAAATAAATTGTATTTATTATAACATAATAATTTAATGTAATTATTACGATTTTTTTTATCACTATCTAATATATATATAAAAGTTTAAAAGATGAATATTTATGTTAAATTTCAATTATTATTAATTTAATATTTAATTTCTGATTGATTTTGATTAAGCGGTATATTATAATTTTTATTATTATGTAAAAAAAATATTAGAATTTAAAAAATTGAAATAAAAAAACATATCTTTTTGTATTGAAACACCGGTGTCTCACTCAACATAAATAATAGTAGTTCTATACAGATCATCCTTCCCCCACTACCTAGGCCCATGATGAAAAAGGGGAAAGGGACCGGAATGGGCCCAGCCCAATTGTGCAATTGAGAAGAACCAGTGGGACCGCCCCAACTTTGTTATTAAAAAAATTGAAATTTAGTCTTATTCTGAAGCGTGCACACATTGAAGTGGCGTCACGAATGATCTCAATCACACCTAAAACTTTTAATTATTTTCGAACAAGTGGTCTACATTTCTTAGAAATGCATTATCCAAATAACATTTCATCACCACTCAAATTTTATCTTTCCACTAATTTTAATTTATGTCATTTAATTAATATTTAACCTATTTAATTTCTACTACTTCATAATATATTTGAATAATTTGGAAATACGTAATCAAAGTTTATTT